ACTTCTAAGAACAGTATCACCCACCCAAGCAGAATACTACTGTGCAATTTCTTTCTTAAAAATTTTGATCTTTGCATTAACTGCGTTAGTCCTTCATATATTCTAGTTATATGGAATTTGGTCAGATGTGTAGCTGGCAAATATTTTCCCCAAGGTGTAGGCTACCTCTTCACTCAATGACATAAAGTCCTTATTTGTATCTACATCTTGAAATGTATTCCCTACTTTTTAACTTGTAAGTTTCAACATTTCAGGTTTTACATTGAGCCCTTGATCTATTTGTAGTTGTTTTATGCAGATGGAGAGATAAGAATTGAGTTTCATTATTCTAGATGTTTGTCATCTTCCTCTCTTAGGGATATTCACTTAGCATCTAGATTTGTATCACTGGTAGATCTGAGGTTTTTATATAAAGGTAGCTACAGTAGTGGTGACAATAATAATGAATGACAAATACAAACACTTCTGGTAGTAAATGTGCAGAACACTTCTTATATATTAAGTCACTTCATGGGCACAAAATCCTGTTGAGTAAGCTGGGTAAGGGTATGGTGGCAAATGCCTTGAATCCCAGCTCTTGGGAGGCAGAGGCAGAGGCAGGAGCATCTCTGGTTTTGAGACTCAGCATTCTACAAAAAGTGAGAATTGTTAAGTCAGTTGGAAGTTTGGTGTCTGATGAGATCTAACATTATTTTATAGTTTGTTTATCACATATATTCTCTACTGAATTGACATTTTGTATTCCCTTCCACTTCTTTTGCGGTATATTCATGTTTAACTGGTCTATACATGTTTTCATGTTTTATTTCAGAGCTATCCTTCACTATCTATGGGTTTAAAGACTTAACTTTAATGATTTTTGTCACCTTTGGATAGAAATTATAACATTACTTTTAATAAAATCTAATATTTTTCTTTACATATTCTGTTTTTTCCTTTGTTGTAGACATCTGACCTTTATTTAGTTATTCATCTGTTTAGTCTACAAATTCAGAGGAAGCATGCCTGATCTTGCTTTTGGTGTCAGCAATAGAAAAGCCCTGTCTTGTAATGTATGTGGAACTTTTCAATACAAAATTCTAATGCTTTCTGTTTTCAAATTTATTACACTTAAATGTTTTGCATATGTTAAGGTAGCAATTTAACAATATCATTCCACAAAAGAACAGACAAAGAATGAAAAGCATTTCCTTGCTGATCTGAATGCCCTACCTCCACACATATGTGTGAATTCCTTTATGCCTTTTTTATTGTGTTCCATGGATATTTCTAATATAACACTCTGGTATTGGCTTTTCTCCATTGCTGGTGGTGTTTGTATGGTTCTATTGGAATGAGTTTCTTTTCTGACCTTTTTTTAAAGAATATCCTTTTTACTCTGGTAGATAGCAATTTGCTTCTTCCTTAGTTTTAATTCTGAGCCTTGTATCCTAGTAAGGGCCTTTCAGCCTCCAAGACAGTAGAAGACAGTAGAGCTTGTGAGAACCTGCAATTTTATCCTATGTATATGTTCCCACAGCCAGTCAAGGCCTCTGATTTCAGAACTGTTTCTAGGGCAGTTTCACATCCTTGCACTTTGGAACCGCAGGCCAGAGACAAAATAATTGACCACAGGCTTCCTGATTGCCTAGCTTTCATTGGACAGGAAAGTGAATTACCTAATAGAAACCAAAAGGTGGCTGGGATAGATATTGTCCTACATTTAATCACAAGCCTTTAAAAATATTTATTTATCACCAGCCTGCGCAGAGCCAAGGAGCTCAGGTAAGTGGATGCTACTGTAATGAACAAGTATGTGGGTGGACAAACAGGAGAGAAGGAGAAACAGAGTGGTTTGTGCACTGTGGAGAGAAACGGAAGTGAAGACACCCTGGCAGTGAAGAACAGGCTGATAGGGGTAGCCTACACTGCCACCAGGGGGCATGTGATCTCCAGGCCTGCTACCACAGAAGGCCATGTCTGGATCCGTGGCCTGGGGTCTGTGTAGATGTCCGTGGTTGTGATATCACTGGAGGCCAAATAGATGCCCGTGATCTAGGCTCCAGCAGAGGCCATGCTGATGTCCAGGGGCCATGCTGCCACTAGGGCCATACTAATTTGAGTGGCCTGCGCTGCCATGGTGACATCTACCACAGGGTTTGTGATGATGTCTGTAGCCCATGTTACCATTGGGGTCCTTGGAAAGCTGGTCCAGTGGCCTGAGCGCTGGAAAGCTGGTTCTGCCCCTCCTGGGAGAACTGTCTCCAGGTGAGCTGTCCTAGAGAGTCTCAATGGCCCTGGGAAAACTGCCCTCCTCCCCCTCACAGCCTCTGCAATGGGAGAGCTGACCCTGCACGTGGAAGAGCTGGTTCCACTCCTCATAGTCCATGCAGAAGAGCTGGTCCCAATGCATGGGCAAAGGAGAGCTGACCCTGACCCTCACCTGAGGGGCCTTGTCCTAGAGGAGGCCCAGACTGACAAATTCAGACACCACCCAGGCCCACATCCAGGGCTTTGAGTTGACCCACCCCAACATCTACCCTATCTATGACCTTTTAGAGCACCTGAAGGGACCAATCTTGTGAAACCACAGCTGCAAAATCTCTACGACTTACAGCCTGATATCCAAAAGAAGGCTTGGTAAGGGTGCAGATTGATGGTGTATCAGAAGCCAGGGTTGAACCAAACCAACAACTCATTGCAATAAACATTTGTCAGTAAAACTGTTTGGGCAAAAGGATACACTTTGTGACACATAGCAACTCCCAAAGCCACTATGATAAATGAATACGTGATGCAGAGGCAGGAAAGACACAGGAACGAAATGTTTTTTCTTTCCTTCATTTTATTAGTTTTCTTTTTTTAATTTTCTTTTGGGGGGGAGCCACAAGGGTGGAGGGCAGATGTGGAAAGGCTGGGAAAGGAGTGGGATTGGGTGCATGATGTGAAATTCCCACAGAATCAATAAAATTATGTTAATATAAAAATAAAAGAATATCATTCACTAGACAAAAATATTTATTTTCTGTTTGTGTGTGCATGTATGTATGTGCAACATATGCATACAGAGCCTGCATTATATTCCGTGTAACTGGAGTTAGAGTTCTTCTGCAAGAGTAGGAAGTGCTAGCCGGGCGGTGGTGGCGCACACCTTTAATCCCAGCACTCAGGAGGCAGAGGCAGGCGGATCTCTGTGAGTTCGAGGCCGGGCTGGACCGACAGCCTCCAAAGCAATACAGAAAAACCCTGTCTTGTAAAACCATTTCTCTTCTCTGGCTCCACAAGTCCACTCTTCTTATTCTCCTTCTTATTTTTCTTTTCCCACTTAGTATTGGCTTTTAATCCAGGGCCTTATACATATCAGACACACACTTGACCACTGAGATATATCCCTAACTGTCCTTACCGTCCTTCACATTTTATTTTGAGACAGTGTCTTGCTAGGTTTCCTAGACTAACCTTGAATTTATTGTGTAGCCCAAGCTGGTTTCTAGCTTGCAAAATACCTGTATCAGTCTTCTTGGAAGTAGGATTACAGTCATATCCAGCATGGCCAGAATGAAGGTTTTTAACAAGTTGATTTATGCACACATATGCACACACATACACACTCCTACATCCTCACACATACCCCTCTTCCTTTGGGAAGGTGTGAGAGCCAAAGTTACATTTTAAGTTTTAATTGCTATACCTAAGAGATTCATGAAACAAAAATACCGTTGATCTTCAAGCCCTTTGCCCAAGGACAGATAGTTCCTGAAATGCTGGAGGCTGTTTTCACTCCCCTAAACAAGTTTGTTTGATCTATCTGCACTGGTATGTCCTTGATCACATGTGGGCAGGAGGTAGGTAGGCAGGAAGAAGTCAGGATATATGCTTGCCCCTGATTGGACCTAATGGGAAATGCAATGAATTAATGGGTTTTCCTTCCTAAGCCTTTGCCATACTTGATTCTGGGCCATTTCTTGGGAACTTGTGAATGGACCTGGCAGAGCCCATCCAACCTGGCCAGTTTTTAATTAAAGCTTGCTTTAGTTTGGCTTTAAACTGTGGTAGTGGTCTTATTCTCGATTAGTGGGATTAACAAAGAGTTAGAGGTAGCCATCGTTGAAAGGATTCTGTTAGGTCTGAGCATGACAAACATGGTTCTGGAAGGTTTTTCCCTTCCCCCATTCCCTCTTCCTCGCTAAAACCCATTATAGTGCATTCCTAAACTAGCTACAGTGGTTCATTCCCTTATTTGGTCACTTCCTCCTCCTCTTAAAACTACCAAGGTCTAGCTGTTAAAGTATTAAAGTCCAGCAATCTAAAGTCCTCTTTTGGCTGCCCTAATTAACATGCCAAATCAAAATTAAACACCTCATCCTAATAGGGAGTTTCCCATTTCCCTTTATAAACTGCCATTTTCCTGCAGGCCATGTCTGTCTCCTCTCTATCCAGAGGCGGTCCTCCAGGACAAATATCTCTTCCTGTTCTCCCTTGTTCCTTTCCCTTTCTCCTTTTTCGTCTATCTCCTATATCTTATTCCTTGCCTTTGTCCCTCTGAGGTAAACAAATCTTTGTTTTGAGGTTTCTTGTGCCAGCGCTGGTCCTTTCAATGTTAATTTGTTCTAGTTTTTTTTTATATGTGTACTAGATTTGAGACTTATCAGATTTGCTGGTGGTGGTTGCTTCAAAGTCCACTCACATGTGTTACAAAGATAACTTTTCTCAGGACAAGATTGCAGCAGTATTCATAGATGGAGAATCTGAGTTACAGGAATTTTCCACAGTGGGGCAGGCAATTTCATCCAGAAATCTGTCTCCAAATGTGTCTGTACTGATCCTCTCCAGTTCTTTTCTCTCCATTCTAATTTCTTTCAATAGTACCTGCACTCAGTCACCTCAAGAGGGGGCTAAATGAACACACAGAGGCAGAGAGGCCTGACTACTCCCAGACAGCTTTTCATTGGACAGCTGGTTGATTCTAAAAGAGCTCTTTAGCTTAAGTCTCTGCTCTGCCCGTGACTCAGTCAGCAAAACCAGCTTCGAATGACAATTTTAGGGGTTTGTGTCCAAGAGGGTTTTTGCTGCACCTAGCCTTTCCCTGTCCACAGAGCAGAAGGCATGCTGAGCATTCTGGCCCTACTTCTAGCTTTCTTGCCTGCTGGTAAGTATAGAGCATAGATACTAGGAGATTTCATTTTGTTTTTCTAAGTAGGAAGCTATGCTGATGAATTCCTACTCTACTATTCTCATTTTAGGCAGACAAACATCCCCCAACTTGGAAGAAAGAATAATGTCAATTGTCAGGCCAATGGGATCCTCTGTCATAATCACCTGTGATATTTACGCAACAGACAGTTATATCCACTGGTACCTATTCCAGAAGGGGAAGGCCCCACAGTACCTTCTCTACTATAACCGCCTCAAGTCCGAAACTGTGGTGGATTCTGGACTTAGTTCAGAGAAGTACTATGTTTATGAAGGCACAGATAAGACTTACAAATTTGTACTTCGGAATGTGGAAGAGTCTGATTCTGGTCTGTATTACTGTGCCTGCTGGGCTGGCACAATGATTCAGTCTTGCCCTTATCTGTACTGAATCATTAACTTGCAGCTGTTACTAGTGCACAAGACAGACCAGCTCCTCTCTCACCTCATGCCTCTCACTTCTCTCTGAAGAGAAAATTCTGGACACCTTGCCTTATTGTTGCCTTGTATACATCCTACTTCCTTCTCGTCAGCTCTATCATGGTCCCTAACTGTACCACTGGACATTTCTATAGACCAAACTACAATCTCTGATACTTGACCAAGAACACTTGAATGAAAATATAATGCTTTCAATTCCCTTGAAGTCTGTTGGAGGCCCATCCAGTTGGCAGACTAGGACATAAAAGGTTGCTTCAGTTTGCTGATATCTGCCACAATGTATTTACATAAGAGAGCATTTTGGGAAGGCTAGTTAAGTTGATCCACATATGTGATCATGATGCAAAGAAAGTAGCCAAAACAATAATTTTTCATTACCTAGATTGTGAGAAATGGTAGGATAAAGACTTTGGGCTTTCTGAAGACATCATGCTGATGTACAGTCATCATCTTTTGAACAAACTGATCATTCCAGCATCATAACATCCATAATATTGTTTGTGGGAATGATAGTATAGAAACATGCCAATTATTTTGTCTACTTAAAGAATCCAATGTCAACACACTGAATTTCAAAGATATTGTTGGATTATTTTAGGGAACAAAGGTTTCCAATCTACAAAGCAGATGGGAGCTCTGCTGGAGGTGTCGGAGCTGTTGGCATTTGCATAGCAACTTGAGTCTAACAAGAGTTAGCAGAGTTCACAGAGAAGATTGTCAACATCTGGCTACTGTTGCCTAGGTTAAAGTAGAGGATCTTGGTAAACTGTGTCACCTCAAGTGGACTAGCTCTCTTGTGGATTTCCTTGCTGTTATACCTAGAATACCCATCAATAAATAAAGGATCAGGCTGAATGAGCATATAATCAATAGTACATACTTGAATTGAAAAATACACAGGAAAAGGAGACTGGATGCCACACTAAAGTTGTATGTAAAGATATACAATTAATTAATATGTAATTAAGGAGATACAAGATTTGTTGGGAATCTGTTCAGGATTTGACGATTATCAAAGAAAATAGGTTTGAAAACTTTTCACTTCATAGTCTTAAATATCACTTACTATTGGTATAAAGAATTGTCAGTCACTGTATGAACATATGTATATTCTAACCAATACCCTTGTACAGTTCATTTAGGAATTCCAGTCTTATTCCTTATATGATTATTTTAGATTTTCTATTGTTGTGTTAAAACACCATGGTCAAAAAGCAACTTGGAAAGGAAAGGGTTTTTTCTATCTTACATTTCTCAGGTAACACAGTCAATCATCAAAGGAAATCAGAGTAAGAACTCAAATAGGAAGGGGTGCTGCTTATTGATTTGTTCTTCATATTTTACTCAGTCTGGTGTGTTTTTGTTTTGTTTTGTTTTTGTTTTGTAGACAAGGCTTTCCTATGCAGCCCTGATTATCCTTGAACTTACTTTGTAGACCAGGCTTGCCTCAAACTCAGAGATCCGTCTCCCTCTGTCTTTCGAGTCCTGGAATTAAAGGCATGCACAAACACTGCTCAGCCTCTCAATATGCTTTCTTTTAGTACTCAGGACCACCAGCCTAAGGATGACTTGTTTTGTGGGGAAGGGTGGGTGCATGCAATATTCTATTTGTGGAGGCAGGAGGACAGCTTGGGAGAGTTAGCTCTCTCCTTCTACCATGTAGATTCTGGTGGTCAAATACTGGTTGCTAGGCTTAACAGCAAGCTCTTTTACTACTGTACAATCTGCAGACCCCATACTTTTAAAAAATATGTAAGTTAAAATCAGTATTTATAATGCTTCATGAAACGATATTGTGAAAACCCAAAGCTGCATTCATGATTGTGTGTGTGTTCTTCTCTGTGAACTCTTCTAGCTCTTGTTAGACTCAAGTTGGTATGCAAATACCAACAGCCCGACAACTCCAGGGCTCATGCATTCTAGACAATTGCTTTACCACTGCGCTATTACTCAGTCCTTGATATTCTTTACAATAGTAAGTGCATGGTATAATGACACCCAACTCTTGACCATGAGAACAGGGCCTGCTATATTCAGCCATTGTTGCCTGAGTTGACATCTCTTCTGTAATTTACTATTCCCTGTGGATATTTTTGACTCACTCTTTCACTGTTCCATTTGCATACTGGTCATTACTATCCCTCTCAAGTTTCATTGATTTCAGTTTTTAATATATAAATTTGCAATGGCCAAAAATCCATACCTACCCTCTCAAAAGAGATGCATCAAAATTTGCATCCTGTGGGTTGACTTGATTCCTATTATTTATTTTTTAACCTCTTGTTTATTTAAATTAGAAACAAGCTTGCTTCACATATCAATCACAGCTCCCTCGCCCTCCCTTCCTCCCCTGACCCCAAAAACCCTTCCCAACCTCCCACCCAATTCCCACTCTGCTCCTCAAGGAGGGTGAGGCCCTCCATGGGGGATTTCCAAAGTCTGTCATATCATCTAGGGCAGGACCTAGGCCCTTCCCCATGTGTCCAGACTGAGAGATAATCCCTCAATGTAGAATGGGCTCCCAAAGTCCATTTGTATGTCAGGGATAAAGACTGATCTACTACCCCAGGCCCCATAGATTGCCGAGGCCTCCTCACTGACATCCAAATTCAGGGGGTCTGGATCAGTCCCATGCTGGCCTCTCAGCCATCAGTCTGGTGTCCCCTTGTTCAGTTCAGCAGTTTCTGTGGATTACAACAGCCCGGTCTTGACCCCTTTGCTCATCACTCCTTCTTCTCTGCAAGTGAGTTCCAGGAGTTCAGTTCAGTGTTTAGCTGTGGGTGTCTGCCTCTGCTTCCACCAGCCACTGGATGAAGGTTCTAGGGTGGCATATAAGGTATTAGTCAATCTCATTATCCATAAAGGGCATTTATTTTACTTAACCAAAACCAAATTTGAGAAATGAGAAAATTTGTAAGGCAGCCCTGAAAATTAATTAATGCACACAAAATTGAATGAACAGTGTTCTTTTAAGAAAATCAGTTCTGTAGGGGAGGAAAAAATGCAACAAAACTTCACCCAAGAATTCAGTGATAACAGTCATTGTCTTCTGATACTGGGTGTTAGTCATGGATGTAAGCACTCCATCCTTTAATCCTAATTAAAATATTATTAAAAATAAAAGCTATCCATTATTGTTCTCATGGTCTCATTTAAAGATATTTTAGGATTAACAACTTGAGGCTTTCATACCATTTGGTAACTGATATTTGAGCTCATTTTAACTGAAAACTTTATTATTTTGATTGCAGAGTGATGAACAAAATTGAATGAATAAATTAGTCCCCAAATCCTTCTACTACAAACATTTTGAAGTGAGATACAGTATTATTTTTTTACCTATTGTATATCTAGGCTGTATTCTCATGAGTCACATGACATCATGCAAAGAAACTTGAATTCAGTTTACTGAAAATAATACTTACTTAAAAATAATTTATAGGCGCACAGGGAAGTAGCTGTCCCTCTGGCATCATCAGGTAAACAGGCCAGCTTCCCGGCCTGTGTTCCAGAGCCTGCAGATCGCCTGGGAACTGCACAGAGCTCCCAATCCCGGTGGGAGCATCAGGTAAACAGGCCAGCTTCCCGGCCTGTGTTCCAGAGCCTGCAGATCGCCTGGGAACTGCACAGAGCTCCCAATCCCGGCGGGAGCCAAGCACCCCAGACTCCTGATCTTCTCTCCCACCAAAGAGACCAGGAAACTACAGGAGCCAGGGAGACCAGGGGAGTAGCTGTTCCGGATCAGGTACAACAGGACCCAGCATAGGGTCCAGGGGACCAGGTAGGAGGCTAAGCGCCCCAGATTCCTGTTCTTCTTCTCTACCCACGGACCAGCATTTGGACAAGGCATAGAAGAACCACCAGATTACTGGACTTACTAGCACCCACCAAAAGGGAACTCTGGTCCCCAGACCAGGAAGGGGCTCTTTCTGCACCCACTAAAAGAAGAGATGGGAAAGAGACAATACAAAAACACAGTCAGCAACAGAAAAACAAATATGACACCGCCAGATTCTAGAGACTCCACACCAGCAAGACCCCAATATTCCAACGCGAAGGAAGCAGAAGAGAACGACCTTAAAAGCACTTTCATGAAAATGATAGAGGCCCTAAAAGAGGATATTGGAAAATCCCTCAAAGAAATGGAAGAAAAAACAAACCAAAAAATGCAAGAAATGGAAGAAAAAACAAACCAAAAAAGGCAAGAATTGGAAGAAAAAACAAACCAAAAAAGGCACGAAATGGAAGAAGAAATGAAGCAAAAAATGCAAGAAATGGAAGAAAAAGCAAAGCAAAAAATGCAAGAATTAGAAGAAGAAACATACCAAATAAGGCAGGAAATGGAAGAAGAAACAAAGCAAAAAATGCAAGAAATGGTAGAAAAAACAAAGCAAAAAATGAAAAAAATGGAGGAAGAAACAAACCAAAAAAGGCAGGAAATGGAAGAAGAAACAAAGCACAAAATCCAAGAAATGGAACAAAAAGCAAACCAAAAAATGCAAGAAATGGAAGAAAGAACAAACCAAAAAATTCATAAAAGGCAACAAACGGACGAACAGATAAACAGAAAATTGCAAGAAGCAATGCAAACGCTGCAAGGGTTGAAAACTGAAATAGAGACACTAAAAAAAACACAATCTGAAGAAAGGCAGAAAATAGAAAAGCTGGACAAACAGTCAGGCACTACCAATACAAGCATTACCAACAGAATAGAAGAGATGGAAGAGAGAATCTCAAGTGTTGAAGATACATTAGGAGAAATGGATTTATCAACAAAAGAAAACCTTAAATCCAACAAATCCTTAACACAAAGCATCCAGGAATTATGGGACACCATGAAAAGACCAAACCTAAGAATAATAGGTATAGAAGAAGGAGAAGAAATCCACCTCAAAGGGGCAGAAGGCATATTCAACAAAATCATAGAAGAAAACTTTCCCAACCTTAAGAAAGACATGCCAATGAAGGTACAAGAAGCCTACAGAACACCAAATAGAGTGGACCACAAAAAAATCCCTCGCCACATAATAATCAAGACCCCAAACATACAGAATAAAGAAAGAATATTAAG